ATACAGAAGCTGGAATGGTGGGAACTTTTCGCGACAGTAAAATCTGACGATTTATTTTTACACACAAGGGTGTTCAGGCAGTATTACTTTAGAACTTGAAAAAAAAAACTTAATCTTGTTTTGAAGTTGATTAATAAAGCTTCAGATACTTGTCAAAACATTGCTCAAATTGACTCTTTGAAGGGTTTTCTGGAAAGTCAGTAGCTGTCCAGAACTATCAGCTAGCTCTATATTTGATGTAGTATACACACCTATTTACTGGCTATGAGGACAATAGCAAGTTTAATGTCCCCCAAAGACAGCAACTATTTCCCGTGGTGCAGCCGCAGGAAAAAGTTGCTGTCAAGGGGGGCAATAAACTTATATTGTCCGAATAGTTGGTAAATAGGTGTTTTATTACACCGAATTAGTCACATCACGATCTGGATAAAACTAAAGAAGTTCCGAGATGAAAGGTTAGAGAAATCAAATACTACCAGTGAATAGTTTGACTACTATTTCACCAGGGGCAAATAGCACAAAAACTATATTATGGTAGAGGTGTTTAGAAGAAAAAGAATAGCAGGTTTTTCATCATATTTTTATAAAAGAAAAAATCCATAAAGGTATAATAATATAGTATATATGTGTGCAAGCAGTGCATTCATTCTAATATCTTTGAAATGACTGTATGATGGATTTGAAAGTTTTAATCTGATTTTGACACAACAAGCAATATGTCATTGTGTTTATAGCCTTCTGTTTATATATATTGGATATTGTCAGGTGATCTTTTATTAGTACTGGTTATAGACAGAAAATTATGTAGAGCCATTAAATGATCTGCTGTCTTTCGTTTGAGTAAATACTTGTCAATCACCGGTAACCATAGAAAACAACTCGTTACCAGGAAATGTCTCACGTTTCTAACTGCCTTAAAGCTATGAAAAAGCAGGAACTAAATGTCTCTTATATCTTATTGCAGCAAGAAGAAACTATGAAACCAATCAAAGAAAAGACTGAAAATGAGTCCGAACTTTCACGAATTCAATCCAAAATTCTCAGCAAGTCCATGAATGGTTCCACAGTAAAATAGCAAACAGCTAAACACTGAAATCCTCCATCATTGTCAAGTTTTGTCATCAAAAGTCATTTATAATAGAGAATGAAAGATGAAAAGAATGATGCCCACATTCTCCAAATTTTTTTTTACAAGATTGAAGTGTATTTTTTGTTATTGTCAATATTTGAATTTATCTGGTTTTGACAGATGTGTCCATTTTGACACAATCTGACAAGTGTATAAATTTCAAAATATTCTATGTTTCATTTTTTTTTTTTTGTTAACACATGGAAAGTTTTTAATGAATATTAAATATATTTCAGAATAATTTCATGTCAAATTTAATTTTGAAAAAAAAAAAAATGATTGGGCTGTTGGCTATATGTGTTGTAAAATGCATTGATTGTATCTAATATATTGCACTCATAAAATGTTCCATCAACCAAAAGCATGGCCATTCATATGTGACATAATCTGTGCTCTGTTGGAACAGCTGTTAAAAAGTACTTATAGGATAGAGAGTCAGTATAAAGTCATGTTTATAAATGCAAGGAGACTGTACGCAAGTTGAAAAATTGAGTTGCATTAGCATTATCTCCCCTTGACTATATGTATAAACAGCGACAAAGTTTATCTTGTGATATAAAAAAAGTGTGCTATTAAAAAGATGATTTACTTTTTGTATGTTGTAACTTGTTTGATTTGTATTGAAATTCAAGTATATAATGATTGTGGATGACTTAAATGTAAAATTTGAAGCATTTTTTAATAGGTTGAGTTGTAATTGAATAAGTCATCTTACATTGTTAACATTCTCATTAAACTTTTGTAAATATTCTGTATCATTTCAATACAATATCATATTTGACCGATTCATCATCATCTCAATTTCCAGTCAATAACTGTAGTCATTATTTTATTACGGGACATTTTTCTTTGAAATTCATCTGTATATGTAAATTGTATTTTTTTTTCAATCAAAATAATGTAAGTGTACAGCATTAGGTGTACTAAATTCAGCAGCATAATCTGTCGTCCTAGATTACTCGAGACAATGATTTATGGGTGCACGCAAGTGGTATGAGCAGTTTTTTTGGTGACCAAAATGTTCAGCGACACAGATGTTATTTTTTCCATGGGAAATTATTTCCTATTTAAAGCCTGTGTTGATTTCTATTGAATACCTGTTCAATTTCTAAAGAAATATTTTATTACAGCACAATATTCATGTACTTCAGTGGTGTATTTACACTATAGGTACATGTAGACATACAGTTGTAAGATTGTCAAGTACTACTACGTGGATTTGGTATGTGTTACTGGGTTATTACCGATTGTAATAGTGTATCTTACTTGTGTAACTTGCCTTTATCTGCAAAAAGGAAACACGGATTGATTATTGTTTATTTTATGACAGTAGTACAATCTCTATGTTACAGACTAATTAGTAATCAGGCCTCTGTATGGTTTAGGTTGACGATATCATTTATTTTGATAATTTTGGTATACTCATATTTAGTAACAGTTAGATTTAAATATTTGTCTAGATTGAAAACAAACATCATTTAAATGTGAGGTGCATTTTTCTACAATTTACCTGAAAACCATGGTGAATTTAGATGTCTTCCATTACTCTGTAAACTTTTAATAATTATTAATTCAGGATTTTCTGTAAAGAGGCATTTAGAGACTTATTTAGCATGTTTAGTGTTGTTATAAAACAGTCTTACAGACGCTTACAAAAGTCAGATATATTTTAGACTTCAGTTCATGTCCTAATCTGTCAATATATACTGAAACGCAAAAGAAACGCAACATCCTATTTTAGGGGGAATATTATATATAGGATATAATTTTTTATCTAAAATGTAAGACTTCTTCAACTTTGTAAATCTCGGTAATTTAACGGTTGAATGATTTTCATACCATTACCGGAAGTTAAGTTTGAGTCCGCTTAACAGAAATCAAAAATTGCATTTTTAACAAAATATTTGGCAATAACATGGGGTTTTAAGAATTTGTATCTGTTCATCATAAGTAATGAAACAATGTTAGGAAAAATAAATTCTTCTTTCTCTTCCGTAAGCGATTCCAAGGCTGCCTAAAAATGACTTAAGTACGCATTTCAATTGCTCTAGCTGGAAAATCTCAAAGGTGATGGAGAGTTGCAGATGCAAATATGCAACACATCACGCCTCAACAGGCTCTTGCGTATCATTAGCATGAATGACAGTCCTTGGACCGGAAGTCCAAGGGTTACTACACTGCGCTAGGCTAGAGAAAATTCGACCTCATCATCTGAAAAACAGGCATTTAAAAATGGCAAAGAATATTTCTTTCGCTCAAATCTCAAGATTGATGAACCTACTGCATCGTAGAAATCAAGCTGCAACTGTTGTAATTGGCAGTCTTGCACGCTGTATTTGAATGGCCTGGTCGCCCATCACACTGGGGGGTGTTTTAACATTCATGTGTAACTTTCTAAAGTTAAAAGATTATAATTTAACATTTTTATCAAATCTCTTATGTTTATAACTCAAGTTTTACCTTACTGTATTCATTTTTGAAAATCATTAGATAAAAAAATTCAAATATTTGTAGATTACTGTTTGTTGCGTTTCTTTTGCGTTTCAGTATATTTTACGTGATTCTTAATAACCATTTCCAGAAACTTTAACAATTTTTTCTACTATTTACTGGTACTCAGTTTAAATGAGGTTTTTTCCTTATTTTATTAAAAAAGTTTCTTTAGAAAACACCCATTTTTTTTTTTTTTTGTTACTTTTCTACAATTATAGTAGAATTCTGCAGATTTGAGTGATTACACATATCACATTATTTGGTGCTACATACAATGTAATGTTTAGAGCTAGGAACATACTGAATAATAAACATATAATAGGATCTCCTTTCCGTTCTGGTTTTCCCCCTCAAAATCACAGACCAAAGTGAAATATTCTTCTGTATTCAAGTACATGTCGTCCTATTTCTGTTGTGTAATTGTTTTGCGACTTGGCTGCAGCCTGTTAGAGCTAAAATGGTATTGTACAAGTTTGTTCTGTTGTGTCAAATTCTATCCAAAACGCATTTCATAGTATTATGTTCTGTAAAACATTTTGACCTCATTTAAATATTTGTATGCTATATATATTATGAATAATTTATTAAATGTTACTCCAAACTTTGTTCTGCTTCTTTTGTTCTACAAGACTATGAAGTGTACTTTTAAAAATCTTATTCATTCTAGCACTTTTCCTCCTGTGCATTTACAGCTAGGAGACAAACTCTCTAATAAGAATATTTCCTCCTATACATTTACAGCTCGGAGACAAGTCCAAGAATATTTCCTCCTATGCATTTGCAGCTAGAAGACAAACTCTTAGGAATATTTTCGCTTATACATTTGCAGCTAGGAGACAACTCTTAGGAATATTTTCGCTTATGCATTTACAGCTATGAGACAAACTCCAAGAATATTTCCTCCTATATTTTCGCTTATGCATTTACAGCTATGAGACAAACTCCAAGAATATTTCCTCCTATGCATTTACAGCTAGGAGACAAACTCCAAGAATATTTCCTCCTATGCATTTACAGCTAGGAGACAAACTCCAAGAATATTTCCTCCTATGCATTTACAGCTAGGAGACAAACTCCAAGAATATTTCCTCCTATGCATTTACAGCTAGGAGACAAACTCCAAAAAAATTTCCTCTTATGCATTTACTGCTAGGAGACAAACCCTAAGAGTATGATAATGAACATCAGTCCTTCTCACTCACAATATTCTCATAGCAAGAGTCCAGAATTTCAAGGGGGCATGCCCAGATCATTGCCAGAGAAACATGTCCAAGCCCATACATATTTCTTTCCATTACACCTCTCTAACCTTTAATGCACAAAAACATCTTCCTTTGTTAATATATTTATTTTTTGATCACTTCCAATTTTAATCAACTAAATATATCTGCTCCATACACAATACTGCCAAAACATTTACAAAAAAATTTCTTCTGCAGCAGTGAGCACAAATCAACCTTGAATGCTTAAATAATCTATCCGCTTAGAGCGCATGATCCAAAAATTAGCTTCCTAAAATACCCCTTATACATAACGCCTTTAAGGCCATGAGTAATTTTCTTGGTATACATTTTCACCATAATATATTTCAGCAAACAAAGTTGATTAAAATTAATTCGCAAGCCAATTCAGGCTACTTAAAAAATAAAAAGAATACATTATAAATATACAAAACTCCTTCTAATTGGGTCACTGATTCAGCTGCCTTTGAGAGTGTGTTTCTTCGACGCCTCCTCTACAGTGTGATGGGCGACCAGGCGGAACCAGGAAGTATCCACACGGTCAGCCGCCCATCCGGAGACCACTTCATCTCCCGTCACGCTCACCACCTCAACCTTCAGTATTTTGCCCACTGAACAACCATACACAAACCTCCATCACTGAGCACTAATCCTGCATTTGGCAGTTTAAAATTAAATGATACTGGTTTTTCATTGGGCAAAATACTTTGATCTCCAAGGAAATAAGTTGGGCACCTTTTTTTGGGCCCCCCTTTTTCCCTTGAATGTGTGATTGGAATATATGTATCATGAGAATTGCACATTTTACTATTTTTTTGGCGTGCACAAGGTGAACCTCCCTTCGTACACTAGTTGCTTAAATACTCAACTTGCACAGATTAAAAAAAAATCCTCAACCTTAAATAACCTTTAAAAAAAATTATACAAAAATAACAACTTCCTCTGTAAATTGTTCAAAACAGTTTTCACCGTGTTCTCACTGTTGGAAAAAAAGTTCAAACTTGACTTTTTCTATCTTCACATGTTTACATGTTGAATAAAATTTCAAAACTTGGAATATTCCTCTAATCCAATGTAAACTATAATCCTTAATAGCTTAACACATGTACCTCTGATGCAAATAAAACAAGACTCGACAAACTTTTGAAAATGTATGAACTTATCTGAATTTTCGAAAGACCAGTAATCTCTCTTTATCCCCTTTCAAGTAATGATTGCATTTGAGTGACTGGAAAATTTTTTCCCTCCCAAGTAAATTCAGATAGGTCCACACACTATAGAGCGAGCCATTTATAGGTGGAAAACCCCGAGATTGGAATGGACGTCTCCCCAACCTTATCTACAACATCGCACGACCTCTGGAGTTACAATTAACATAGAAAATCATTATGTACAGACTCCATAAACTCCCCAAGCAAGATAGCAGTGATAGTAAAGACCTTCTTATATCACTCAATTTCATAATTTATCTCGTTTACAGTGCACTGCAACTTTAACTTGGAGAGCAACTCAAGAGCAGATAACTATTATACCTCTTTAGAAAATTAGCCTTGAGATTTAGAAATAATTCTGAATTCTAGTCGATATTTATAGAAACTAACAAAATCATACCCTCCCTCCAAATGATTAACAATAATTTTTTAACAATTTAAAATTTACAACTTCCAAAACAAAGTTTTTAGGCAGAGTTCTTTCTCTCAAAAATTCTCTTGAGAGTTATCTCCTCTTGGTTCTGACATAGCGAGAATAGGCAAACGATCAAAAACATTAATACAATCTGTTTACCATTGACAGAGTGTTCTCATTGCTACACCACATCAGAAATGGATTAACATTACAAAATGATGTACTGTTCTCATCACAAATATCCTAAAAATGATTCACAATGTCTTCACCTCCACAATGAAGTGCAAAATTTTCTTGCATAATCCTTACTAACATAACAATTCTCAGACAAAGTAAATCATATCAAGGTTTCAAATTAATATCCACTACCAAACAAAAAAATTGATGCGTCTTTACAAGATTCATGTACATTATAAGAATTAAATTTTCCACAAAGTTGCTAGAAGTTTCCAAGAAGGTCAGGATTTGCGGGCTGCATGGACTTTTAATCCTCGCTGGGACAGTCGCGAGCGTAGTGCCCCATCTCGTTACAGTTGTAACATTTGACGTTCTTGCTGCTGCTTCTACATTCCCGGGAGAGATGTCCCGTCTCTCCACAGCTGTAAAATAGAAAACATACCATCAAGAAACGCCACATGAAGGTATTGCCAGTATTGTATAGTTAGAGGAAAGCTAAACTTCTAATGAGAAATAACCACTGTCTTGAATCAATACTCCTTACATTGAGGTAAACAAGTCAAGTCTGACCAAAAAATGACAATTTACATACAAGAAATTTGTCAATCTTGTTTAACACATAAGCTCATTTTTAGTACCATTACTCAGCAACTTTTGAGCACATGGAAAATGCATTATACTATGTCAATAAATGACAGATAATATGAAAATGATACAATTACAGTAAAACATGCTTATAGTAAACACACTTATAATGAATTAACGCTTATATTGAAACGATTTTCATTCCCCATGCTTCAAAATATTTTGTGAACTTAACATCTAGAATAAATTACGTTTATAATGAAGCCAAATCATCCATACTTGGCACTTTGTTATAAGCATGTTTTACTGTATTTAGAAGGCAGTTCCTCACTTGTAACATGTCTGATCCCGACCACCACCACCACGGCGACCGTCGGGGCAATCTCTGGCAAGATGTCCAGTTCTGTTACAGTTGTAACACTCCTTGTCCCCGCTCCCTCCACCACCACCTCGGGTTTCTCTGTCCGGGCAATCTCGAGCTAAATGGCCCTCTTCTCCACATGTGTAGCAGGCTCCACCCCCACCACCTCCGCCGCCACCCCCGCGGCGCTCCTGAGGCTCATTAGTGCATTCTCTGGCGAAGTGTCCTGATTTCCCACAGTTGTAACACCTCTCACCTGTAATTAAGAAGAGCTTTATATCTTTGTTTCCTACATTAGCTTGCAAATTGATAATGGGTTACTTGATTTCCGAAAATTATTTCATGGTTCTGCTCTTTTAGGAACTGGAAAAAAAGAGTACATTTATCATAAAAAAAATTACTTTCAAGTCAAAGAATATTTTTTAGGGACACAAACCTCCTGTATCCCTGTGTTACTTACTTTGTTCTCCTGAACCCCTTCTTCTCCCCTAGAGTCATTATATAGATCCCCATCATCAATCTGAATGCCACTATCACACAATTACCCCCCCCCCCCCCCCCCCCAAAAAAGTCACACACACAATGACACCTATTACAGAAACACTAATTACCACCCCTCCCATCCACCCACTCAACACCACTGCCCCCTCCCATACAATCTGAATGCCACTATCACACAATTACCCCCCCCCCCCCCCCAAAGTCACACACACAATGACACCTATTACAGAAACACTAATTACCACCCCTCCCTTCCACCCACTCAAAACCTCTGCCCCCTCCCATACAGATACTCACCGCCACCACCACCACCACCACCTCCTCTTCTTCCTCCTCTGAATCCCCCTCTGCCACCTCCTCCTCCACTTCGACACTCCCGGGCAAAGTGGCCTGGCTTTCCACACTTGTAGCAGTTGCTGTCACCCATAGTGTTAGGGCTTGTTCTAGTTTTTCTTGCAAACTGGATGTTAAAACCACACCACTTTGCACCTCACCTCTCTGTAAAAGTAAAAATCATTGTTCAATAAAGTTCTGCTATAAAGCTTCACAACTTAGTTGAATTTTGCCCAGAGTCTAGTCATGACAATCTGATTTTACTACGTGTCTGACGGTTCAACTTTCATAAATGTTTATTTGGTCTTCACTGATAAATTACAAATTGATGCATTCAGGGCTCAACAATAACTAAAATACACATTTTCAAAAAGTAACTTGTCCAATCGGACAAATGCATCTGGAGATTGACTTGTCCAATCACAAAATGAGTTGGACATGGACAATCAGACAAATGCCAACATTCAGCCCTGTCCATTGGACCAACTAATTCTGGGAATACAGTTAGTAACTTATGATACGCTTAAAAATCATTCTAACAAAGGTAACAAGTTTCATCTTCCTGTAAAAATGATTTTAAAAGTATTCACATATTTCACATGTGTGGATCTAGTGGGGGGTGGGAATTTGCATAGTTATTGAAAGTATATACTAGAGCAAATAAGAAATGACTTTGGGGCCCCCCCCCCCCAGAAAACGAGGACCCCACTACGACTTCCACGAAATAGGTGTTTTCATGTCTGGACAATGGATTTCATTTTTTTTTTTGGCTCATCAAGGAAGTTTTTGGTTGGAATTTTTTTTTGACTGGGATGGAACCCCCCCCCCCCCCCCCCGTAAAAAAATTCCTGGATCCGCGCCTGTTTCATTCTCTCCCAAAACCAATGTCTTTAAACAGCCAGTTACACATTCCTCTCGTGATTATCACTGACAATATGTATAGAAGAATACAAATCTTAACATGGGTGATGGCAGATGCACTGATCTGTCACACATACAATTAGGGTGGGACGGGGTGGGGAAGTGCAGATGATGTGAATTAATATTCACAGCATATTCTACTTTCACTTCCCCCTTGGTCCGACTTCTACAGCACCTCTTGTAGGGCAGGTATCCTAACAAGTCTTCTTTTGTGAAATTGTCCAGAGCAAAATTGTTCACTTATGACTTTCATATACATATTATTCACTTTATGTAAGCCACTGCAACATTAGAATCGAAATATGATAACCTATTTTATGTTACTATAAATGCGCAGTCATAGTAGAGACCACGTGCTTCGACGCCATTCCAAACCACGCCATTTCTAGTACGTGATCGTCGTACAATATTGTCGATTAAGAACACTAAGGGCTCATCAATACCGGACAAAATAACATGTATTAAATACTATAATAAATGAACAAATAAAATAACTCGTTTTTCCTCACCAATAATCTCTCCTCTCCTCTCCTCGCCTCCTCAACCCTGTAAACCACGTTTCTCCTTGGCGCTCAATTTTGCTGTTTTGCACACGACACTTTGCACACGGAAAATATTCTAAAAGAGACAACGGATGAGGACATTTGTTCCGAGAAAGTCCTTTCATGATATATATATTGGTAATTTTAAAGAAGTTCCAGCGATTCAAAATTCCTGTCCACGTATTACCCTTTATCATCTTGTTCAAAAGGTTAATACCCTCAGCTGACCATGGAGCAGAGTAAGAAAGTGAAAATGTGTCTCAGATTTGATTTCATCTGTGGAAAAAAAAAACCCAACCTTTTTTATGTGAAGTGTTTTTTGTGTAAGAACTCATTAAAAATACCGTCTTTCTAATAAGAAGTGACCCAAGAAATGCATAAAACATTGCAGCAATGGAAAGTCAGTATCAAAACATAGCATTTTTTGAAAAATAAAGAAAATAATATATGTATAACGTAACATGTAACATTACGAATCTTTAATTAAAAAAAATAATCACAATAATAAAAACTTAATGAACACCTTTATTGAGAATGGAGTGGTATACATCCCCTCCCTTGGTTTCTACATATTTCTATAGATAAGGATCATGAAAAAAATACGAGTTGTCTTTTCCTAGCCGCACTTCCTTTCTCTAGTACACAGAATCCCCCCCCCCCCCTCCTTTTTCCACTTCTTCCAGGAAAATTGAAAGAAATTATATGATGCTTATAAATATCTATTCAACTATTGTTCCAGTGTTTCATTTTCTGGGAGAATGTACTTGGGAGGGATTCCAAAAATTTTTCAGGCTTTGTAAGAAATTTTCATTTCCCCTCCGTGTACCCCTTTGGGGTTTCTTATTCCGTCTCCAACAAATTCGATCTAGCGCGTATTTTCATTTAGTTTTAAATTAAATCAGTATCACTGAAATGTATGAATATAAAATATAAACAAAGGCACCCCACGAAACGTTTATTTGATCACGATGGAATGTTTGGCTCTTGCTAGGTAGCAGCAAGCGGTTCGGGGACTTTTAATCAATCACTCAATATATGACGTTTAAGCAATGTCAACACAAATGTATACGTAATTCTTTTTAACTGTAACGCAAGGTCATTTAAATGGAAGCTTCCTGTGAACTTTCTGTCATAAAATTTGAATGGGGGTCTGTTCTGTACCCAATCTAACTCGAGTTTTTAAAGTCATTTGTCATCTTTCTAAGCGCTTTGTTTCGAACGGTATGTGATGTTTCTTTTAAAAGAATGGATTGGAATTTAGTGGCTGTTTTCTACAAGTGATAAAATATCAGCGGTGCAGAATGTCGGAAAAGGGCTTATTTAATTAATCTGTTGATTTGACGGATCTACATATTTATTCACTTTTCACCAGGCTATTTTTATCATTCAATCCAAACTGAAAAGGAATTCTAGGTGGGTAAAATTAAACACATGATAAACTTTTAAATCTTATTAGTGATAGGAATCAACAAAAAAAAAGCAATGGAAATTAACATAATTTTTCAAAGTTTTATGAACATATACATGAATATATCTGAATATAGGGACCAATTATAGCACTTAAGAGTTACATTCAATTCATGTTGCTGGCATGAATGTCCTATCAGATTTCCGTTGACAATTTATCAGATAAGTATTCTGGCATACTGGAGCCTGGTCAAGAGAATTTTATCCCAGTGAGGGTCATATTTGAGGAAAAGTAGAAATGGGAAGATAATTTGATGTTGTTTTGTGAACAATAAGGGCTGAAAGGGTAAGGTTCATGTAGATAGAAAGCCCAAGGGATATGATCATTTAGAAAATATTAGAAAATCAATTGATGATTTTTCCATTAATGTCCATTATTCTCATTGAAATATGCTCTCTATAATGGATGCATCCAAATGATCTCTATGTATATAATTTCAAAAAAAGTGTATATATTAAATCTTAATTTAGAGAGTACTGTCATATAAACACTCTTTATCTCTGCAACATTAAATACAGTTGAACTGTGTTATCCCAGACAACAAGAACTCAAATACCACGGCAGTCCCGACCACTTTTCTTTTTGTTTTTCACCTTCGTTTACTGGAATCCCTGAATATCTCAAAGTTTAATCTTAGTCCTGTCGAGTTTTAACAAGGTTTGACTATATCTGGATTCTGGTATATCTGGATTCTGGAACCTACATTTCGGGGGGGGGGGGGGGGGGGGGGGGTAAGAATTAGGTTTGTACTAGTACTTTGTACTTTGCCAAATTTGCTGATAGCTCCTTTTTTTCAATAATTAAAGCATTAATTTAAAGATTGTGTTATCTGAATGTCTGTATTTTTTTTTCTTCCAAAGACTGCTTTTGATTATATTATAGAAATGAAAGTAACTCTCATTAGAAAGAAAAACATTCTTTGATATAATGTAAATTTGATAATTATTGTAATGTTTTGCTCACTTCTGTGTGATTTGAAGGAGAAGAAGAGAGGGAGAGAGAGAGAGTGGGGGTCTTTAAATGCATTTTTAGGTGGGCATACATGCATGCATAGGACAGAATCAAATGTAAAGATCTTGTATATTTATGGTTTATAAAAAGTTTTACTGCTCATAGGAAAATGTGGCCCAAAGAAAAAATCCATTTACTCTTCCTTGGAGAGACTCCTGAGATCAATAGCCTCCCCACTTTTTCTGGTCTCAAATTAAAATTTAGTTTTTGGTGTGTATTGTTTTGTTATCTTGGCTGATAGATTACCTGAAAGTAGATTTAACAGCTCTTAAGCCGTTCACATTATTTATTCCTCATGCAGTAGCTTTTCAAAAGTGAGACTTGGTGTCTTTCAAATTTCCTTATAAATTTATGATTCTATAACACTATATGTCCAATTTGAACAAATTTTGTTATCAAATTCAAAACTTGAATGTGTTAGTGTAACTGATTAAAGCGAACATTAACTGCTTTTAGCTTAAGGTAGAAATTAGTTTTTATGTATTTTAAATAAATTCATTAAATATTTCCATTATAACCATTTAGTAAGAGTACATTTTATGGCACTGATATTTAATTTGATTTTTTTATTAAGCTTTATGATTAATTATCTTATCTAGGATTTGATGTGTGCCTGTAAGAATGTGTTTATGGGTGTGGGGGGATAAAATGGCCGTGCACTATGGCCTAAATGATTTGTTTGAACTGTATGTTCATTTTATCTTATATAGCCACTCTTCCAATTTGAAAAACCAACAGCTTTTCCCCTGATTAATGGGCACGAGGTATTCATTGGAACCCTTTACACTAAAATGTTTTCGTCAAGTATATTTCATGCTCGTACGACATGACGGAACCATTTAGCCATGTATTTTTTAATCTGAGGTCTTTTGACTCGATGTCATTCACAATCATTGAAAAATCAATATTGATTGTTGCAGGTCTAAATTTTGGCAGGCATGTTTTAATAAGCTGGATAAATAAAAAATTGTGGGTTCCTACATTGGTGCTGAAATTACTGACCAATTAGGAAAATGAGTTAGACTTGAGTGAAAGAAACTGAATATGTTGGAATAATGGGAACTTTATATTCATTCCAAATCAAATGTCGGGATATAAGCAAGTTTATGAATCATTACTATTGAAAAATACTTATACAGAACTAAGAAAAATCATTAATGGTAAGACTAATGATTTAAACAAGATTATAGAACTGAAGTAGTACATGTATTTGTCATTTTGTAGGACTAATTTATCAGTGGGATTTTGAGAAATTCTACTTATTCTCTTAAGAAAGCAAAGTGAAAAAAATTTGTCTACTGATACTCAAATTAAGGTAGATAATGAATTCTAAGGGAAATGTTGGGAGAAATTTTAAATTTTAATATGTCCTGACAAATGGGTTCAAATTAAGCTTTTGAATGTGCCTCGTATTTATAGGATATTGTACTAACATCTCAACAGTAATTCTAACATTTGACACTAACAATATGTACTAAAGGTGTTTATTTATTTATTTTTTTTTTGTACAATTGCATTGCATGTGTTTTTACCAATATATTTAATCAATGAAAGTGCTAAATTCATGATTCACAGTGCTTAGGCCTAAATAAATGTAGTTGACTGTGCTATTTATTTTAAATGGTTAGGGAAAAAAAAGATATCAGTTGAGAACCAGACTTCTGCAATTGAATATGAAAGTCTATGAAAATAATTGGTTTATATTTGACATATATATATTCTTGTAAAGAGGAATAAAATGACCCAAGGATTATAGGGTGTCATTTTCTGTGGACAAATGTTAATCTGTTTCATCCTCGAAATTCTCTGTTGTATTGGATGTGCATAGTGCAAGGGAGTATGTGCACAGGACAAGAAAGTATGTGCACAGCATAGGATAGGGATAGATGAGTGCTGTACATGGTGTAGGAGAGCAAAGTATGGTAACTGTTTAAGAGGACTAATGGAGGCGAAAAATGGGGGGGGGGGGTAATATTGATTTTAAAAAAGTAGTTGAAAGGATTTAACGAAGGACTGTACATATTTTGATAATTACTGGTAATTTTAGAAAATGAATTTTTTTTGTCTCTGTGGCATTTGTCCATAATTTTGCAAGCATTGAGTGATTGATGTGCAATATGTTTATTAGCCAATCAAAAGTATGTGAACTGTGAAGTTGACACGTTAAATTTTTAATGTACAAGAACTAAAGGTTTTGTAGTTGGATCCTATCTAGGGATTTGCATGTCATACAATGTTATATACTGATACACTACAAGCTCTGAAATCTGATATTGCATACGTTAAGTTAACATGGTTAAAAGTGAGATGTGTGGAATTAAAGAGGACTTAATACCTGATTTGTTTCTGAAGCTAGATCTAGCTATAATAATAGATCTGGAGACAGCTCTTTTAATATATATGTCTCCTCTTAAAAAAGAAAGATGCACCGATTTTCATCTCCTGGGTTTTGTGCTCCCTTCATTTGAGAGATGACTGCAAATTTTTTATTCAAATTAAGCTGCTATTGATTATTTGGTTGAAATTTGTTATTTTTACAATGTCATATACTGGTATGTAATAATTGTTTGATCCAATTCAATTTCTGAATTGTCAGATTTGATCCTAATAGA